GATGGATACAGAGTTCTCACTGTAGATCTCCTTCACAGCTTCAATGTCTGCATCAAGCTGTGGGTGTCGATACAGGTCAGCTGCACAGCTCCCCTAAGACAGCAGCAAAAAATGTAGGGTGGTAGGAGGGGTGGAAAAGGATATATAAACAGGGAAAGACAGTCAAAAATAAAAAGAACATGAAGATACACCAGAAACAGAGGSATACAAACAGCAGCAGTACAGGGAAGCGAAAGCTACTTATATAAAGGAGTTCTTGATGGTGGCCCTAGCTAGAGATTTTATTGACAAATCCCTTCCTCCTACATCACCACTTTAAGGAAGTTTCTGAAGACCAAATGTAGGCCTTTCTTGAGGAGTTCACATCCTTTAAATCTTTAGCKTTTCCTCTCAGGCACTGACCTGCTAAAACTCAGATAGGCTAAAGGGTACAGATTTTAACTCAAGTAAGTTCTATCTGAAGAGCGTTCTGAAAGTGTGAGCATTTTTGCTCAAGAGTGTGTCCTTTTAAGACTTGACCCTAATGAATAWTCCTCACTGGCTAGTGAAATAAAAAAAAAAAAATAGTTCCTAAGAAAATACATATGGCTTTCATTTACAGAGGATGTAGTTTATTCTGTAACAGGTATAGGTCCCAGCCTAGGGGAGCAAAGACATGGGATAAGCTCTGACAAGACCATAATTAGACCATACCAACATTATATCCTCATCTCATCACTGCTCCAGGACAACTTCTTTCACTCTTGATGTATCCAGAGAATAAAATCAAGACCACCCAACATTGAATATTATAAAGAATATAACCTCACCTGAACTCCATAGAGAAATTCCTCTGATTCATTATCTCCTTCTGAATCATCATCATTCCAGAACTGGCCTTTGATGTCCTAATGATGAGAAATAAAGATACAATTATTTCTTAAGTCCCTTTCATTCCATGGAATATGGTGGGGTGACAGAACAGGAAAAGGTTCCTTAGGGTAGAATAACTAAAGCCTTAATCCCATTACACTTTTTGCCTCACCCTTTACCAAGTCTATCTCTTCCTAAATCTGATCATATCCAAGGCATAGCTCTAACTTGAGAAAGAAAACAGTGAGGAATTTTGGCCTTCTTAACTCTCCYATGATCAAGGCTCTGGTAGCCAATGAGGGAGGGACACAAAAGACTTCAATGATAAAGTTGATTTCTAAGTATATCTGGATTGTAGTATAAGCTGGCCTCTTCTACATCATTACCCAAGTATACGTAAGCTCTCATCTCATTATTCTGTTTCTATCTGTTAATGTATTTAACTCACCCCTTTTACCCTAAGAAAACACATAAACACACAGACACTTCTCCCCCAAGTAATACTATTTCCTGCCCCTTCTCCTTTATTTAACTTCAGATACCACACTCTTCCAAAAGGGCAAGAGAGAAAATATTGGGGAAAGATAAAGTCAGCACATTGTCTCATCTACCCACTGGATGATTAGTTGGAAGAAGTAAGGAGTCAGTTCTCACCATTGGGTCAGTAGGTCACACACACTCCCAGGTCAGTGCTAGGCAGCACCCCTCCATACCACCAACTGAACCCAGGCCAACGAGATGGGCATTT